GCGAATCACCGTCGTCTCCTTTAGTTGCACAATGGAAATATTTTCTGGCGCGCGGGGGGAGGGAGGGGGGGAGGCTCGAGAGACTTATTCGCATGTAAGACGTGCATGCGCTAAGTATGCGCGAATCCGTGTAGATGAGGCGCATGCGAAATGAACGGAGTACTAAAACGGTACTAAAAAATACTAAAAGTAACGGCTGCGCGGCACGATAACTATTAAGTCACAACCGAGTAGATTTTACTCGGCTGGCTGCTCAATTTCACGGTGGTTCCTACTCGCCCTCTTCGATTCTCTCGTTTGTCTCTTAATCTACGGCATGCACGAAACGCTGCGGAGCGATTAAGTTCCAGAGTTTAAGTTCCAAAGCGACGAGATATCGCGACCCGAGAAAGGAAAAACAAAATCGAAGGACGAGAGCGTTACCTATGAAAACCTATGTAATATCTTGTGTATGCAGACGTCACGTACGCGGTGCGTGTTCACAAGTGTGTAGCGAAAAGTGTTCGTGCCGAACACGTGTTCTCCGCGTTAATGCGTTACCCGCACCGCGAGGTAAAAAGGCATTTTTCTTGAACCGGCCGTAACGCGATGCGGCTCCGCTCCGCACTCGCAACGCACTTTTAAACCCGACGATGTGCGGACCGTGCGATCGATTCATTCGAATGCATCCTCTCGTCGAGATTGAGCGCTTTTTAAATAAAAAAGCGTCGTTGAAATAAAAAAAAAAAAAAAACAAAAAAATTAGTCACCGTCTGATATTACAGACTCCATTTATTTCATATTTTTTCCTTTATTCTATCGCTATCTTTTCCTTCTCTCACATATCCACAAAATGGATTGCTTTGTCATATGTCTGAATGCTCTTACTATCAAAGACGTGTCTCAATTTTAAGAAAATCATTTTTATCGTCACCTTATATATTGAAAATATGTACACGTCGTTATCAAATTAATTCCTACAAACATTTTATGCAAAAAAGATGTTATCGCCTTTGATTTGTAGTCTTTTTACGTTCTTTTATCTTCGTACATATTTGCGACAGTGCAAATATACATGAACATAATATGTGCATGAACGCGAAGCTGAAGCTGAGAAGCGACAGAGAGGGAAGTAAAGATAATAACGTATTCGACGAAGAGAATGGCACTACTCGCGTAGTCATCTGCCCGCAGTATGAATTACATTGGCGATTGAAACTCGTTCGTGGTGAAAAAAAAAAAAAAAAAAGTACGTGCGCAACCTCGGGCTGTCGGAGGTGCCGAGATTTGCATATTAAATGGGTTGGGATTTATAACGGTCGGTCTTTCGAGCGGTGTTAGCAATATGTGCGATAAATAAAGAACCTTCCTCGCGCGAATCGATAACGCGCAAAGTTTAGTTTTTGCGCGAGTAAACATGAATTTCGCGCACGTTAGAGAAGAGTGAGAGAAGAGTGGCAGAAAAGTAAAGAAAAGCCTTGCAAAATATGTATTTTAATATGACTTGACGTTTAAAATTTCTTGAAATACGTCTATATTACGATACATTAAAACTTGTCATAACATGCGGCACAGAATGACAGCATGTTTTAAGCATTGTTAATTTATTGCAACTAAATTTACTATACAACTCGAAAAAAAAAAAAAAATGAAACCTGAACCAATCTACATTTGTGTACGCGATAGATTTTTGCCCATTTTAAGTACTAAACTTGTAAAAATATTAAAACATGATTAAGAATGAACCTGCAAACGCGGAGAGTCTAATCCCAAAGTATAACTAATACGCTCAATTAAATCAATTTGCGTGCGCGTCATCGTTCTTGCGTCTCTCATTCATTCGACGTTACTCGCAAGATTGATCGAATAATTGGCCCGTCAGAAAATTTTCTGGATCGTTCAAGGGTTATACTGACTCTCTCGAACCGGTTTTCATCGCTATTCGGCGGCAATATCGAACTAAGTTATGTCCCGCTTGCGCGAATTTGTGCGTTCCGCGTGCCTCGTCGGCGCTTTTGATATACGAATACCTCATCGCGGCGGGTTCGAAACGGGTGGGACACTTTGTTGCGAAACGACCTTAGTAATATCTATTACCGCGTCGGATTTAAGGGTCATTAAAAGATAAGTTCGAAAGAACTTCTACGAAAAGATGTTCCCGCGTGTGTTACACAAAGTATAAAATAAATATGATCCTATAATATAAAATTTATACATTTTTATATCTCCTTTACGTACTTCATCATTTGTTACATACACGTGCAAACAGAAGAAGTATAATTATCCTATGAATTACAATGCGACCTAAATTATTCTCGGAAAATTGATAACTTTTAACCGCCTTATTATTATTCTGATAAACATTGTATATACTTATCGATAAATGATCCTAGTATCGTGAGTGTTATCTATATAATAAGTAGTATAGAAAAACAAAATAGACTACTGAATTTGTCCGTTGAGAAATACTATGATGTATTAGTTAAGAATCTCTTTAACCTAGGCGATGACACTTTGCGGTGTTAAAACTGTGAAGAAGCTCATTTATCTTCATTGTGCCACCAAATGATTTTTTTTTCGTCTAAATAAGCATCTCGTTTTAAGAACAAAAACGCGGCACTTGCTTTAACATATATAGAAACTTTCACATATATTGTTTAATGTGTTATATATATATATATATATATGTATATATATTTTACTGATAAAATTCTACTGATAATTTTAATGATAAAATTACAAAAAAAAAACCTTCCAATACAACACATGACAGAAAATGCCGTTTTTCCGTGAAATTGTCGCACGTGGAAGAAAAATATCAACCGCCGACAAAAGAGATAATCGGCTAACCGCGATAATTTGTCCATGCGTTTGTATATCTGAAAAGCCGAGCGTCTAAAAAGAGTCGGAGTCGGAGCGATGATAGCAAACACAAATTGGTGGTGGCTGGACTAATATACCCGAATATGATGAATGGTCTTTTATATCCACGGACGTAGTAAGGTGTTATGCGTTACGTTAGTGTTGAATTATTGCGTGCGTGGGGCAGCCGCGCGTCGGCACAATAACGCAGCCCGCGGGAGGGCCTGGTCTCGGGATCCGATTGGGTCCAACTGAGTCCGACTGGGTCCCTGCCCACGTTCGTGGTCCGAGCTTTTACCCGCGAGACATCGAGATACGCGCCGAGTTCGATACCTCTCTCTTTTCCTCTCTCCTCTTTTTTTCTTCCCTCGCCTCGCCGCGATTTTAATCGAACCGCGTTACGAGCGAATCGAAAGATCAATCGCCATTGATCTCCCGGAGGATTTATGATCATTTCTCTCTCTCTCTCTCTCTCTCTCTCTCTCTCGACTTATTACCATTCATGAAGTATAATAACCTACGAAACAAACGATGCTGTTCGATACTTTACAATCGCGCACGATCTCATCCCCGTTCGATCGACCTCCGCTTATTCTTGTCCTTCACACATTTGTCTCATTCCATCATCTCCTAAAATTTCTATGTTAAAAATATTAGAAATATTTTCCAAATTCAATACAACTGAGATTGAGTCCTCGCGCGTTACGTAAGAATCTGTCAACGCCACACGTTTATTACTTTCCGAACGATCGTTTAGCACCTTAGCAGCTCTTTACTGTACCAAATTACCGTTCATAAAATACTGACGACGCTCGATAGAGGAACGACTGGAAAGAGACAGATATGTTGATCCAATCTAGTCTAATTATCGCTAGGGAGGAAGGCATAATAATAGCATCGTCTCAAAGTTGCGCCACAAACTTCGTAGAGAAACGACAGAGGGAGAGAGAAAGAGAAAAAGAGGGAAAAGAACAGAAGCACTGACGCATCACTGGCGGGCTTGATTGATGGACGAGTCGCCATGTTTATAATTAGAGCCCGACGTTTCCGGTTCATCGTCTAACGTTCGAGCGGATCACGATTCGCCGCGGATCAATCTCCTTTCTATAATCGTTGAAAAGTTTCATCGCGGTGACGCGGCCACGTAGAACCAGCGCTAAGACACGAGCAGTGCTCACGACTGCGCTAATTACGGTATCTCGGAATCATTCCAACTCCTGTCGGTCGTGCGTGATGATAGGCGCGAGCACGCTATCGCGCGGAAACGCGCGTGAGAAAATGTGCGATTTCATGGGCGTTGTTCCGCTTCGCTCGTCGATTCTAATTTCGGTGCTTTCGGTGCCGAGCAGATGCAACGTGTTATCGAACCTTTTAACCACGTGGACGTTTACGACGCGGTCGGACGTACTGGCTACACGAAAATCCACGTGTGCAGGAAACGAGATGCGGGTCGCGGTAGTCACGCATGTGTGTATCTTCCTCAACGGTCGACAAATTTCAAACAGCGGATCTAAACAAATTTGCAAAGTGTGTCTTCTACGAAAAAATTCAGATGGTCGATTTGTGCCGCCTGTTCTTTTAATCGAGTATTTCGGCAAATATTTCAGCGTATTTTTCTGAAGATGCAAAACACGGTGAGAGTAGCGCGTGACAAAACGTATGATGGATTATGAGTGAGTTAAATATAATTTACAGGTATACGAATATGTACAAGTAGAGCGCGTACTCTTATAAATCTAATACAAGGCTGAAAGACAGTAATTAATTACTTATTTCAAATCTTAAAAGCACCGTTGTTCAATACAAATAAGTAATTAATTACTATCTTATAGTGTAGATCTCTGTAAAGACACTTTCTTACTTTTTAACGTGCAAATTTGCGGTGTGTTTCTCGCTTCCGTTATAAAATTGACAAATAACGAAAGAATCTCGCGGAGAAGACAGATCGTGTTGAAAAACAATTTTACGAGGGAGATTTTAAGAGTCTCGTCTCTTTGAGAACGTGCTACGAAAAACGTCCAATATTTGTAATACAAACTCCATTATGTTACTTGATAATTTTTTTTCGCAGGCATCATGCCAAGCATCATACATTATTATTACGTTAGATCGTTTTATCGAATACATCGGGGTAATTATTATTCTGTTGATAGACTCACCTCTACTCTGCATGAAAGTAAAGAGGTCGTCAAGGAATACCTTCCGTTCTGGAGTATCATCCAGCTCATACAACTGAAACAAAAAGAAATAAAGACAAATGAGTCTCGTCATAATACAAGATATACAAGACAAATAATACATTTCGATGTACGGGAGCGTCTTGCCATTAACTCATAAAGGGACGTGCGCCCCTTTTTCTATATTTACAGAAATTACATACGTATAATGATGGGACATCTTGCGCACGATAATGAGTACATCTCCATTACACGCAGTACGTACGTATTATATTGAATTAAAGAGGAGCGTATAGACGATAGAAGATCTTTTCATGAGTTGTATACAATTAACGGTAAATACAATTCAATGTAATCAAGCAACGATCAACATTTTTATGTCGCGAGCGTCTTTATAATCGCACAAATACTTTCCCCCACGCAATGCTTTCCCGATTGCCGATCGGGAGAATAAAACGTTACCTTGCGGCATGGTAATAAAAACAGGAGTGAAACAAGTGTGCTCATAGCGACAGGCAGATTAGTTAGCTCCGATTATTAATGATTCCGTTTAACCTGCCTCATAACCCGAAACCCTCGCCGACTATATGAAAGCCAAACCCCCTTCGGGCTGGCGGCCCGTATTATCATATTTGTTATGTACGATGTGCTATATCTAATCTGAGACCTCCTAATTGCTTTTATAATATCAGCCCCGTACACCCTCGCTTTCTCTTCTCCTAGTGTCTCTCCTTATCCTCTTTTTCTCTGGCGCTTTCTACATCCCTTAAACGCTCATTCGACAAGCTTGTTGCAGTTCTACGAACTTGTTCCTTCCTTTTCCTCTTCCAATACTTTCCGCTCTTCGCAATTCAACTCGACTCGACTTGACTCGACTCGCACATTTGCCGCGCGACGATAAATTCTATTCAACTAATCGTGCGATGTTTCGCAACACTATCTCTCCCCAAGGGCGAATAATAATTAATACGATGCCTTACGCTCACGCCGTCTATCCCATCTAGTTTCCCGCCTAGACTGCCCGCGGATTATGAAAGCAACAATAAAACAAAAGTAATTGTAAAATCACGGAGGGTACGTATATTACGCGCTTGAATTTCAGTTGATGTACGTACATTTAATTATATAAAGATTTTTTTAAAATCTTCTTTTAGTATCACATATAGTATTCTTATATATTTAAAACGTGCGTTTATTTTAATATAGAAAACTAATTAACTATATTAATATTCGAAATAACCAATTCAATTGGTAGCTCTTTGCAATTTATTATTAGTAATTAATGAGAGTACCACACAATGGTATCGTTCGATGCGATGTAGAAATGTAAAGTAATACATGTGAAAGCGTAACGCCCATGTGAAGACGTAAATGTCGACGCCTGTCATGGGAAAAAATGCTGCGCGCACGAGATGTATGGCGACAAAACGAAATATGTGCAGGACGCACGCACGACGCGCGTACAGCTGTGTGTAGAACGGGCAGTTTCTCAGCATGCAGTGGCAGGTGCCTGGCAATCGCCACCACGTGCAAGTAGATCGTTAATCGAAGTTAATCAATGAAGGAGAGAAAGAGAGAAATTTACATTCACCTCGATCAATTTTCGCGGCAACCCCTTCGCTCTCACCCTCTTAATCCCGCTACCCTTGATGAGAGGGAGAGAGCGAAGCAACGAGCGTATCGTAGAAATGAAGGAACGAAGAAACGAACGGATAGACGGACAGCATTTCTCAAGGGCCATTTTGTACCACTTTCTCGTGTTTTTTCTTTGGCTACACGAGCGATGAGCTCGTTAGGGGCAGCCGGAGGGAGAGGACGAAGTAAAAGGCAAGGGAGGAGGGGACGAAGTATAGAGGCTGAGGGTTCAAGCGAGGTATATTGATTGATCTACAGTTAAGCGGACTGACGGCAGCCACGTGAGGATCAGGGGAGAAGAGCAGCTCTCTCTTTCGCTCGTTCGTATCCTACATGCCGACCATGTGTACCTCACTACCGTGGTAAAATAAAGACGGGGCAACGGAATTTGCTCTCGATGATGCATGCGCCGCAGCCCCGCCCTCTCCTTCTCTCATCCACTGACGGCGAGTGAATAATAATTCCTGATACGACCGTCGGTTGATCGGACGACTTTCGTCCCAGGCAACCACGAGGAGAGCCAACTTTGCCGATGATCGATGTACGCGTGCTTAGTAACGTTAACGGACTCGAAGGTGCTGTGATTATAGCGACCGAGGTGTATACACACAGTGCGTTCGGCAAGAATGTCCGGTAATGATCGCATTCGATGAACAGAGTGATTCCTTGAAAATTTTAATCATCGAATTTCAATCATCTTCTCTTAACGGTGTGTCAAGTTTGTAAACTCGTTTGTTGTAGAAATTAGCTACGAGATGTTTGCGATTTTATTTCACTGATTGCGAGTCACAATAAATGATGATCTCTGGTCAATTCGCAAATTCGAGTTCGTTGAAAAATATTTCGTTAAATATTAATGTGATTGAAGGGAAGCAAATGTATCACGAATTGCGTTCTTTGAATGTAAAGATCGTCGAACTCGAAGATTTCTAACTCTTTTTCGTTCTGGCCTCTTGACCGTCGCGCGATGAATTTTACGACCTCAAGAAATGTGATAGAAGAGACGAACGTGGAGAACAAGAAGAGATCTCTCATAAGTACTTAGCGTAGCACACGTCGTTAGCTTTATGAGCAACAATTATCGATGCGCGACTTTTTCCATTGCGGCAGAGATTGAGATAATTTGCTTTCTTCCGGTTACGTAAAGATAACTTTGTTTTCATAGTATTGCAAGTAAAATAGAAATAAATACAGAAATAAGTATCTATTCATAATATCGTACAAAAAATATTTTCTTTACCAAAAACAAAAATTTTCATATATTATATATCTACACTCTAAATTTCTTACAATGAAATCTCTCAAGAAACTTCTTGAAAAAAAAAGACAATTTTCACTCTTTTTTTCAATTTTTACTCCAAAAAAGAGATTTCATTCTAAAAAGAATAAAAATCGTCTTTTTTCAAGAAGTGAAATATTTTCACTTTTTTTCAAAGGTGGTTGCATTTTTACTTTCTTGAAGTGAGATTTCATTGCAAGAAATTTAGAATGTACATACAGTATCATGATATTTTTAAAAATACATCTTACGGTCCCCTGAAACGGATGATGAGGATAAAATTTCGACTTGCCAAGCCTCGCTAAAAGGAATAAGAGACATCGGTGAGTAGTTAGTATCTACACTCGCTGACTTATTATCTTAATTATATAATTAGCCATAGGTCCGTGTACTTTGAAAAGTTTCTCGCGGGCGATATATCGGTACGTTGCATCCGCCCCCGCAAATGTAAAGGGTCAACTTCCGGCCGTAAACCCTTCTTAAGGGTGCGTTTCGAACGGAACGGAAGCGGGCGTAGTCTTACGTAATGCACTCCGACTTTTCTTTTCGAGATTCAAGATCGAGATATCGGATAAGAGCATAGGACTTTTACGCGGGGACACAACACACTCTTGTCACACTAATGATAATGCTAAGTATTGATTTATGTATTAAAATTAAATAAATCTTTATCATCTTCGTGAATATCAATTTAAAATTCAAATGTGACAAACATCATCTCTATTACGATATAATATTAAGAGATGATACTTTGTAAGTATATTTGAGAACGTCGAAAATCTACATTCTTTAAGGGTTCCTTTTGTATATTCCTTTTATATAATCCTACATTATTATCGCTAAGTGATATAGTACTGCTATATTAATACATAAATTTTGTGTACAAGTGAGCGAAGTCATTGAATATGTCTATATGAGTAGCCATTAGAAAGTTCAATCTGTTATAATTAAAAGCTAGAACAAGTGAAGATAGGCAGAGATAATTTTTAAAAATTTTATCAGTTATATACATATCAGTTTAGACCCTTTGGGATCAGTATTATAAGATATTTCAGAGAACGTAAACACGATAAGTGATTTCAATTTTTAAATAGTTTTGTGATTTTATATATTTTGATATATTCTAGAATCAAGTGAATTATAAAATAATTTCCAAAATATAACCCGATTCCGCGGTAGGTTCATGAATTATGACAAACGAAACAAGATAAAAATGTTATCGCTCGTTTCCTCCGACACGACGGTTATATTTGCTCGTTCAAAGGAGATTTGAGAGATCGTTAAAGCGCGAATGTGGTGTGATGTAATTACAACGACAACAATTTTATTTTATTATAGAAAGAAATCTATTGGATGTAATGCGTTTTGGGCGCACATGTTATAATCAAAGAAGAATTAATATTAATATGTAAGCAAAATATTTTGAAGTTATCGTTAATAAAATTATCGCTTTAGAAGAAAAAGAGTCCGCAAAACATACATCTTTTTTATCTAAGAATACCTATTCCTTATCTTTCGCTTTAGAATTTAATCTAAGGCTTAAAATTTCAAAAACATTTCTCTCGTCTTACATAAGTCTCACAGCTTCCTTTGACCGAATATTTTATAAACTAATATCCGATTAATCTCTATTACAAAAAGCATTCTCACAAATGCATTCAATCAATATTTTTTTTTACAAATAGAACAACACTCGTAAGTTAGCAATGAATAGACAATAGACAGTAAACATTCTTGAAAACAAGGATGAAAATCGGAGCAAGTTTGATTCGCTGGTGATAAGTGTAGGAAGATATCCGGTGGACGATGGAAATGAGGAACTTTAAGTGGGGATATCAAGATCAGCAGCGGGTTATACGAGCGGCCATAATAGTTGCTACCATTACCCACTTCCAGGACATTAAAGATAGCAAAAGGCAATTATAATCATTATGACGTCGAGCGGCGCATACAATGCCGTTGGTGCGTTACGCTCCTATAAAATCTCCGTAACGTCTAGAAGCCCGGCCTTTTCTCTCTCTCTCTCTCTCTCTCTCTCTCTCTCTCTCTCTCGCTACGCCCAGTAAACTCCACCCGCAAGCCGGTTATCGCACCGCATCTCGAATCGCTTCACGCCAAGACGGGATGCGACATAACGACGG